TGGTGGTGGTGGTGGTGGTGGTGGTGGTGGTGGTGGTGGTGGTGGTGGTGGTGGTGGTGGTGGTGGTGGTGGTGGTGGTAGATCTTGAAACACCCGAGCGATCAGCACGACTGCATGGTCCTTGTTGAAGATAGTTCGAGGATGTTCTTCACAGGCATGAGCTGACTTCAGTTTGATCGATTCTGGAGTTCGATTGGCTGATTTCTGATTACACCTCACGTCCAGGGAGTTGAGTGTACGTTGTTCTTAATGTATAACGATCACGCCATCGCTGACGCAATTAACGGTTGATCTGGTCGCATTGTGCTCGTTCAGGTGTAACTTGGGACCAACATCGACAGAATTAGTTCGCTGTGGAACATTTGCTTCAGGTTAGTCGAATTTCGGGAAGATGGAGATGGAATTGGTATTCGGAAAACTGTCCATCTTCTCCTTTCAAAGGCACCTTCAGACGACTGGCGTCGAAGTCAGTGAACTTCTGCAAAAGGGACTCTTGATGTCGGAATTGTGTGTTTCCTTAGTCCTGGAATGCGTAAATTTGTCAGATATCCCTGGGGGGTCGACTTGGGTGTCAAATTAACACTCCGCTTAAACAGACCACAATCGATTTCTGCCACCAATCAGCGCCTGGCACCAGGTTCGAACCCGTTCTTCGATACCAACTATGACCTCAACGTGACTGTCTTCGACTGCTGTCTCAACAGTACAGCTTTTGTGTTGGGCTATACTACTATCGGTCGAATTAGTAGCATTCGGATGTTCCGATTCTTGACAGTGAGGTCCTCGAACAGTTATTGGCTGTCGACAGATAACCAAATGCCTCGTGCGGTCTTAACTCCTATACGGGTATACGCATTTTTAGGAGTTAGCTACCGCCAATACTACTACTATCCGCTGTTTCCTTAGTAGTGGGAGTCACCCTGACCATATCGGAAATCGTTGGTCACGTGACAAAATCCAAACTCGACTCACAAACAAAAAGAACAAGAAGAAGACAGTTAAAAGCAGAATCTACTTGTCAAAGAAGCTAGGCGTTTTGAATGACCCCGTGAAAAAATCAATAAGGATTGATTCTGCGCCAAATTTTCAAGGCGGATGATTGTGATGCAGTAAAACGCAATTACCTACTGCAAAGGACGTGCGCATTAAAAGTGGCAATTTCAAGGTGGAGAGGTGACTTTACTTGGCCTTGAAATGACTGTCTAATTAGACAAATCTTCATTGTGTCTCAGTTGATATTTTATGGGGCAATCACAACTAAGCGTTTAACTCCCCGTCTATCGCCTTCTACACTACAAAATGTGTGTGTGTGTATGTGTGTAAGTGAATTATTCAATTTGTGTGTCGGCTTGTCTTTCATCTGCTCCAGGAAGACTGTTAATGCGATGTCGTAGCCGATGAATCCACAAACACACACACACACACACGCATTCTTGTATGTGGGAGAAGCGTAAAGAGGTGATCGACCAAGAAATGCTCTTGTCCCGCTTTACGGAGGTTACTGCACCGTCACTTTTGCCCGCTCACCCTACACGACCACTGCTCGCCTTATCAATCAATACTTTCGCTTGATCTGTGTTCAGACACGCCTCACAACAAGTGGATTGAATCCCTCAGGGTCGATTATTTAACTACAACTCCATACTCGGAGTATTGATTTTTATTCGCATTTTGTGGGCGTTAGAGAATATCAGGGTCTCCAGGTGGTAATTTGTCTATGTAACCGTATATCGAGGGGACTGCTGCGTGTCCATCAAGGGGACCACATCAAGTCTCCCCGCAAAGCCGCCACCATGGACATCCACTCCTGACAGCTGATAACTCCCCTCCCCTTCTCAAACTTGACAAGTCGTCTATTACGGTAAAATAATGTGGTGAATTTGAAAACTAAGCATACATTTTGCTGAAATTCGCCGACGTACCAGGCAATAGGAGGCCACCTGGGAGGTTAGCAAAACTACGGTGCTCTGGATGTTTGTGTTTCGGTAGCTAAGCGCGGGGGAACATGCAATCCCACGTTAAACTTCGAGATTGTTTTTGTTCGCTGCCTTGGGCACAAGAAGGCCAGAACACGAGCAGTGAAAGATCGCGCCAGTGTAATATGGGTGGGGAGGAGGCAGGCAGTAGCTTAGACGACGGCACGACAACATCCAGACATTTCGGTTGTCTGTAGCTTGCACGCACACGCCATAATTACGCTTTTTTCACAATCCATGAGCAAATATTTACATATAAGCATGCACGTATGCATGGGGTAGTCCTAACCGGACACTTTTAAACACACTCAATCACCATGATGAAGCTTCCGTTTTAATGTTAGCCACTTGCGGGTGGACCGAAAGACGACAATTAGCTGGGATTATCGATTTCTTATCGCTTGCTCACTCCGATCGATCAGTTCGGAGATTGGGACTCACCCTTTCACCGAAGTTTGTTCGCTGGACAGTATTAGATTGCATTTCATGAAAGGAGAGCTCCAAATCGATATTTTAATCGATACCGCAGCTGCTCTACAAATCTGTGCCGTTCAAGTTCAAATGATAGCAACATTTGTTCCACGGGAGTTGACACAGTACCATCAACAGAGCACTTAAGCTCCCGAAATAACTGACGACGAATAAGCAGAGTTCTCGATTTTCGGTGACGTGGTATCAACACACGAGTGAATTGGTTGGAAGAAGTCGTAAAGTGCATAATTGACTGATGCCTAACCCCACAATCCACAACACTGTCTTCTTTAGTCTCGCAGTTACTTCAAACCCAATCCCGTAGATGCAACAGTCACACCGCTTACTCACATCTAATTGGTCTTAAATTCTCAAGTATCGGGCTGTCTATTGATCAATCGATTGTTTCCACGATTTTTTTTCTACCTGTCGCGTATCGCATTTTGGTTGTCTTAAAACAAATTTGTGTGGGATTTATGGGTGGTCAAAAGATTTTCTTTGGCATAATAATCGTTTTGTTGGCTCCATAGAGTTAGTTTTGACAGCAGTCTCCCCCTCCTGTCATCGCTATCCAACTTGAAGAGGCGATAACGCGCTGGAACAGTCGTGTGACCGCTGGCACCCCCCCCCCCAAACCCTTCTGCATCCACCCCCGTTGCCTCCAGTTTATCCAAGAGGGGAATATATCACACCTCTGGTTCATTTCCATAAATTTCCCTACTTTTATTAGCTGTGTGGACGAAATAGTCTGCAAATTCAAATAAACGTGAGACTCGGAATCAATCGATTAATCAATATAGATGAGCCTAAGTTCATTAGCATCATTACCACCACCACCACCACCACTTCGATGTGTCAACTCCATCGAATCGATTGCGCACTTTGCGTGTAGACGTGAGTAAGTGGGTAAGTCATCAGCATCCAAGGTCCCACTCTCATTGGCTAGGTGGAAGAAGGGTGGGGTTTTTAGGCCTACACACACACGCGCACACATCTCCCGTTTTTTATCATCTTCCAGTCTGAGTGTGTTTTTAGATTATTTCAATCCAGGCTGGAGTTATTTTCACAGCGAAGTGCCATGAAGACTGTTTCAGACGAATTCCGCCACGACACCGAACCGCACCACTCAAGGTCACCTCAGGTGCATTATTAGGTTTCGGGTAGATGGTTGGTTCGTTTGAATGGGAACGTGGGGAATCGAGACGCGATTGGCTGGTTGGAATCCCTTCAGCAACTGCATCATTATTGCAGCTCCAAAATAGTGGCACCACTGTTATGACAACGCCCCTCATTAGAACACACGACAACTAATCCTCACGTACATACATACATGCATATCTCAGCTTAATGGTGGGATTTTCGGCCTTGGTTTTCAACCTGGAACTCCTCAATGCTTGACCAGTAATCAACTAAAACCGCTATCGACAGATGGAGCTTTTCCACGACTACGATTGTCCTCATGACGCCCAATCGTGCCTAACCGTCGTTTGGACTCGAGTTTGATAAAAGTGCCCTTTTTTTCATTTCCCAGAATTCGAACTCTAACAAGGCGATCACTTTCAGGTATGCGTGCGTGCGTGCGTGCGTGTGTGTAGCCAACGCAAGGCTGCGCGTAGCGGCACGTTTGTGCACGCGTGTGTCCGCAACAAGACAGCGAGACGCGAGTTGACGCGTGAGGCGTGTGTGTGCGTGGAGGAAGGAGAAGAAAAAGGCAGAAAAGGGCAAAAAGCGGCAGCTAGAAAGACAAGCATGCGTGCGCACGTGCACGTCAGGCATCTTGTGTACATGCACGCATCCATGCACGTATGCACGCGTCCTCATTGGCGCAATGCGCGCGAGCCAATCCCAGCAGCAACTCAGATGTCTGCCCACAGCGTATTGGCAGGACGGCCGCAACGCGGCTGTCATGCGAGCACATGAATGCGTGATGAATGTGCGCGTGTGTGTGAGCGTGTCAGACACTGGTACATCGGTCCTGTCTGCACCTCAGCGTGTGCGCGTGTCGAACGTGTGCGCCTTTTCCTCATCCTCCTCCTCCTCTTCTCCACCACCACCTCCGCCACCGCCGCCTCCTTCTTCTTCTCTGCCTCCTCCTCCACCACCTCCTTACTGGGTGACACGTACGCACGCTCACGCACACGAGATTTTGACAAATGCTGCTTAACCAGTAGTAGACACACGGGCGCATCACTTCAACCAAAGTCATCTATCAACGCGGTGTGCGCTTGCTTGCCTGCGTGCGTGTGTGTGTGTGTGTGTTTGTACACGCTTGACAGCTAGACGTCGACATCGTCAAATTGTGTACGTGTTTGTGACAGGTCGAAGCCATCATATTGTGGATATCATCACCGTCGCATCCTAACCACCCCGCAGCACAAAGGAGACCTTCGGTGGGTGTGCGTGTGTCTGCGTGTGATTGATTTACATGTGTACCAATTAATAACCCACCGGACCGCAGTCGATCATCAATCAATTACGCTGCTCCCCTCTCTACCTCGCCTTCCTGTGCAATCGAACAGAATGCCCAGTTCAAATGGAAGTGCTGGAGGTGGCAACACCAACGGCACCAGTGGAAGACCTCAATCGATTGATGTGAGTCTCGCATTGTCTTATTTTATGCACTCAATGCATCCCATTTGTGTGGGATTCGTGGGTTTTAATGCATGTAGCTAGGCAGTGAAATCGGTGGACATGTATAACCCCATATGCGGCACACTTGATCCAACCTCTACTTTCACCCTATCACAAACACTCGCGCGCTTTAACTCAGAACGTCGTAAAGACTTCGATGGGTATCGAGGATTCGGTGGTGTGGATGTGGACGATTGTTGGATGATTAATGTTCCGTGGAACGCACGATTGTCATCGCCTTGAATGCGCCCGACCCCACCCTAATCCGTTGTCTTGCTCGTCCACGTGTATGGGTGCGCGTCCGATGACAAACACTCGTACGTCATTCCTGCCCTCCCCCCTCGCACCTATCACCTTGATTAGTCTGTACTGGGTCAGTCGTGTCTCAAAACTGTTCACGCCGGGACACGCTTTTTCCCTCCATCCACCTCGTGAGTCCGGCTGGGTGTGGTGTGGGGGTCTGCCGAGACCGTAGCTTGTTGGCTCACTTCTAAACCAATCACGTACTACCGATTAATATTCAATAACACAGCGAAAGACGTCAATTAGCACGCATCGTACCGTTATTCACCCTTCTATTGAGTGTCTACAATTTTGGCTTCATTTCCCATTGCACTAAGTACCTCACACGTGCGTGGCCTTGATAATTCGTAATTCGCGCAAGTGCTCATTTAAACAACGCGAGAATTGGTGTTTGTAGAGGAGGAGGCGGAGGAGGAGGAAGGGTCTTACGTCCAAACCCACACACACACACACATCGAGTTAATTTGCAATGCGTGTTCTCGGAGGTAGCGTATTTAAATTCGGCTGAGGCTCGCGTTTGAGGGTGTGGCGGGGGTGACGTAGCAAGGTGGACGATGACGACAACGATGGCGGGTAAGGAGGGGAAGGCATGTGCCCGTAGTGCAAAATTTATGTGCCTTTGTTCAGCCGGCCGGCCGGTCGGCTTCGTAGTCACACTTGGCTAATGAGATCTCAGTTTGGGTGTGCGTTTTCTCACGACACTGCAAATCCCACATTTCAGCTGATACGACTTCTAGCTGCGCGATCTCCACTGTCATGGCCACGAACACGTCGGAGATGGCCTCTTCCTGAACTCTTCATTCCTCGTCTGACTCAGTTTCACCAACTAGATCTACCATGCGTTTGAGCAGTCTAGTGAACACGCAGGTTAATGAGCAAATTGGCAATTCCACGCTAGTCTAATTCCACGGCTTTAGCACAAACGCGGTATTACGTCACACGCACACGCACGCACACACAAAGGCCCCAAGCTAAAGGGTTTAGCGGTGTCGTCTAGCGACCGCTTTGCTGTCTGGCGCATTTTTACAAATCAGGCACTTTACTGTTTATGTGTGCAGCTTCGAGAAGCATTTTTCGAGAGTTTGACGCACTCAAATCTCAGTTTTTTATCGTATTCAGAAATACGCACAATTTACTGCCTGTGTAGAGCTCTGCTCCCGCGTCCATTGGCTAGAATGCGATCAATTAAAACTATCGATCTGCTGCAACTGAGCCAAACTCAGGAGAATTTTGGTTTAGTTTGGCGCTCCCAATGCGTTTGTTTTAATTATATGATTAGTAATTAGCGTGCGCTTTAATTTTGCTTAATATTTTGGCGTCTTGTACTGGCTAATCCATCGTTCTGGGAACTAACAAGAAAAGAAATGCTGTTAGATCTATAGATTTTGGCACGCAAACTTCAAGGTCACGCGCAATGAGTCCTGCAATGTCATTTTGTGTAGAGGGTGGAAAATGTAGACTACATGAACCCACAGTGGCGGTGGTGACAAATTTGTGCAGCGGATTATAGCAGACGTTGTGCAAGTGTGTGTGTGTGTGTGCAGCTATAGTTAGTGCGTGCCATCGTAACTTGTCTGCTGTAGTGGTGGTTTTAAACTGAGACATCCCTCTCCCCCCCTAGACTACATTTAAAAACTTTCAGTGAACTGAGTAGATGGCAGCTCAGTGAAGGAGCAATGTCTGGAGATTATGACGCGTGTCGAGTGATTGTTTTCTATGAAATCCCCGTTAATTCCACGTTGTAAAACTACACCATTTCGATCAGTCAGTCTTGGACGTTTGTTGGAATTATTGCGGACTAGAATAACAATGAACAAGCGTGTTTTCATTGAGGTGTCTGAAAATAGCGATACTTTTGTCTAGTGGAGATCAGTTGTAGTCGTGGGTGGCAACGGTGGAAAAGCTGCCATGTTAATCTGTTTCAAACACGGCTATTCGGAGACCGTGGACTAATCCTCTGACCGTCCAACTTCAATTTCAGCCAACAGACCGTGCTTCGCGAATTGCGTTAAGTCTCTAAGATGGTTCAAACCATCACGAGCGATCCGTGGAAGCCATGCTTAAATTAGAGTGTACAGGCATCGCACAAGTCATCATTGCTCTGTCGAAGTTCTTGGAACACCTACTCAAGTTGACCTTTTAAAAAGTTTGAATCGAAGCACATTGTCTATTAATTATTTGGGTCGATTTATCGATCTTGTCGGAAGACGATAGAAATTGGAAATTTGCTGGAATCAGGGTGATATTCTTCTGCCGTGTATTATGACTGGGATTCGGAACCTCCTCGCGAATAATTAATATGAAATCCCACCTCAATGTCAATGACGTTTTGGTTTCACGTACAGTGCATTCTCCAGTGAATATCCTGATCTCTCAAAAATTTTGCCGTATCAACCACGCGTTTTAAACATCGTCGCACTGGCAACCATGGTGTCTCAAGGTTTGTCGTCACTTCCTCGATGGTTTGCGCAAACTCGGAATCGATAATCGTTCACTTCAACGGGTCTACCAGCGCTCAGTCTATCACAGTTTTGCCTTGCAATTCACAATATTACACTACTCAAAATTTTCCGAACCTCGTACTACACGTTAATTGGCTTAATTGTGTGTAAATTGAGTTTTGCGCCTGTAAATAACGCCCACTAACAAGATGCCATCGTGCTAATTGAGTCGATGGGTGTGTTCGGGGGAGAGGTGCCATTAACCCTGTCTATTCATCTGTGGGCAGTATGCATGCATTTCCTAGATCCACAAAATTTACCTATCGGGGCTCTGATTGACTGAGAAGTTTTATTCGACACGTGATTGGGTGTGCGCCCATGTTACATTTTACTTATCCCATCCAGAAGCAGGTTTTTCGATAAATATTTAATTTAACTTGCTTTTGAGTTGTTTTTTTAAACCTTTCTAATGCTTTATCGAAGTTGGCCAACCTGAGTGGAACATATCGACTTATAACCTCTAAATATCGTCTTAGTGCCCTAAAGGAACATTCTAATGCCCGTAGGATCACCGATTTTGGGTACCAACGCACGTCCAATCGGCTCACTGTTTGAAGACATCCTGGTGTGTGTGTCCAATAGCCAGGCGAGCACGCACTACCATTATCGACCTATCCACAGTGAGGACGTTTTGTTTGCATGTGTGCGTGTGCGTGCGTGCGTGCACAGTTTGTGTGTGTGGAGCTCACGTTTCATCAAACCCGTGCCCTGGGTGGACAGCGGCGTGTAAATTTAAACCTACCACATTTGAGCCATTGACGATCGATAATTTCAATCAGCTTTGTTGCCTGGCCTGAATAAGAATGATTTCAACAGTAAAGGCCTTTCAAAAAGGCTCCTTTTAAATCTTAACTGCGTGGCTTCATTGTTTCTCTCCTATTCCAATTCACTGATCAAAATTCCTGTCTGCTAAGTGATTAGCTTTTTCGTCAAAAATCGATTGCCGTTTGGTAATGCGGGCCTTCAAGCAGTAGAACCTAGTCCAGCCTTCGTCACCGCCATATACACAGCCTGATTTTTATTAGCGCTAATATCGTTATCATCATCCCCGCCATCGCCATCATCATCATTACTACACACACGAACACCCTACCGGACGTATGTCATTGGGAGGCTGTCGTAATCTCCATGGCTGAATATCGGATATGGATTAGTTCAAGGGAACTAATTAAAACTCGATTTCGATGGCGTAATTGCAGCCCAGAATGTTCAGTAAGCATTCTTCCGTTAACGGCGATTCATGAATGGGTTTTAGCGTTAAGCTGCAGAAACTGAAGTACAGAATCATGACCCTATCGATCAACCTCGATACAAACACCTCGGGCTGTTAAACCTCTCCTTCGCGGTGGTGTTTGGTCGTATATTGTGGCGGGATTTTAAAATCGAACATTTTGGCGCTTTGTAAAAGAAAGCATGCGATAAAACAAATCAATCAATTTGAGAAGCTGGAGTGATTTCCAGCACCACTTTCTATAGAGCCTGCAGGCTGGACTAATTTAAGGACACGGTACGGGGCCCTGGTAGATTATCGATTAGTGGGATAAGGTACACACACACAAGTAGAGGGGAAAGTGCCAGAGAAGCAGCGAAAGCAACTGGAAAAAGCATAGAGCTCGGATATCAGAGTTGCATTTAAGCGTGCGCTTTCGGCGTCGTTTGACCTATTCATTTTAAGCGAGCTTAGTCATCACCGCCACAATCACTACCTGGTGAGAGGGCTGGAGGCAACGAAAAGGGGAGGTGGGGGGGGGGGGGGGGTTGAGAGGGGTACGAGAGAGCGAGGAATTTTTCAAACAGTGAAATGCCACCTGAGGTGTTTACGCACACTCGCTGC